GGGGACTCTCGAGGAGATATTGTGTCACGTACGCCCTCGTTCTCGTAGCGCTCGACGATGGTGAAGGACCTGGGGTCCTGGGTGCTCTGCATGACGAACCAGTCGAGCGTCTCCTTGTCCTTGCTGTAGACGCGCGACGCCTCGGTCAGCTTGGCCTTGAGCTTGTCGACCGAGGCCGGGTCGCTGTTTGCGTAGAGGTGGACGGTGATTGTGTAGACCATTTTGGGGGGTGTTGTTTTTACGGCTCTTTGCTTTGGTGTTGATGTGTTTTGGGAGGAGGGAGGTGCTCAACTATTTCTCGAGAGGGACGGATGATAGCATTTGGGTTTCTGCGGGGTTCTGGCGGTTGGTGCTCCCCCCCGCCGCGCCTGATCTCATCGTGCTTGGGCCTGCAGGCACGGTTGCCGTGAGGGGCGGCTTGGCGGGTGTGGGAAGGTGTGTGGACTGTTTGACACTGAGCCTGGGACAAATATTCTATGAGATGGCAGACATGAACCTGAGGCTCAGTGTATCGTCGCCATGAGCAAATATGAAGGCTGGAAATCGTGGTCGGCGTTGGTCGCGAGTTTGGGGGCTCAGCTGCCTCCATGTTTTGCAAGATGGGTCGGGGTGCTAGATTTATCCTCATTCAAATTTGGTCGCCTGCTTGAGATATTCTCGCCTTGACCAAAACTCAACACCACTTTTCGGTTATAAGCCACTCATCCGCGGACACTTTGCGGCTCACTTTAACTTCGTAGCAGCCTCATCAATTTGATCTCTCGCTACTCGAGTTCATTGGCAGCGACCTTTGGTGAACAAGTCCGTCGTGGACGGCCGGTTGGATCACCAGCCTGGCCTTCTCCCGCGCACATCAGTTGAAAAAATGGCGTCGCCGATGCAGATACCCGGATACTATTATGGTGCGTTCATCTCACCATCCCTCTCACTTTCTGCACATCCCCTTGACGCCATCAACCAGCTGACACTTTCCTCTTCCCACACCCGCCGCAGACGAGGAGAAGAGGAAGTACTTCAAGATCGAGCGCAACGCGACCGCCCCGGCCTCGGCCGCCTGGTCGGACCGCAACGTGCGCAAGCGCAAGGCCGAGGCGGGCGAGGCGGCGGCGGCC